ACATAATCGGCATAGACCAACAGCTGATGTGTCCCGTTTAATTTAAGTCCCACCTGGTTTCCCTGGANTCCGCGTGTGTATGTACGTGTATTGTTCTTTCTCGCCACATAATGGCATAACCACTGGAAATTTATTTACTTTATTTTTCTCGCCTGTCAATGATAACTTTAATTTTTGTTGGAATTATTATTAATTTATTTCCCTTATCTAGACTGTTGTATTTGGCATTCGGTTCTATAATTATTTTTGTGTATATCTATGTATTCGTGCTGACTTTGTAATTGGCCTCTGTGCTGTTAAATTTGCATGTAAATAAACATGAATTGAATTGAACTGAAATATCTGAACTGTGCCACATTTTCAAAACATCAGTTTCCTATCTTTATGTCATGATTTTGCCCTGCATCTCGATGATGAGGCAGTAACATATACTTAGTTTTCTCTGTGTTTACTTCTAGACCAACCTCTTTACTTGCGTCAGTTAAAGTTTGTGTGTTTCTCTCTATGGTATCTACACTATCATCCAGTAGATCCACATAATCGGCATAGACCAACAGCTGATGTGTCCCGTTTAATTTAAGTCCCACCTGGTTTCCCTGGACCTTCCTAATGGCATATTCTATAGCAAAGTTGAAAAGGAGTGGTGATAAAGCATCTCATTGTTTTAGACCATTCTGGCTAGGAAATTTATCAGACAAATGTTTACCTACACGGACTTTACTATACGTTTCCTTTAAACACATTTTAATCAACCTAACTAGTTTCATGGGTATCCCAAACTCTATCAGAATAGTGTACAATACTTCCCTCCTAACTGAATCATAGGCTTTCTTGAAGTCTATGAATAGCTGATGTACTGTCTCATCATACTCCCATATCCACCACCTGCATTAACATAAAACAATATTTATGTTTTTTCCAGTGGCAAACGTGATTACTTTTGTGAACAGCCACTCTGTTTTCTGGAGAGTATGACCTGAATTTTTAAACATCATTTAGATGAACTTTAGGCATGAAACATTTAAGGTACAACATATGGTATACACCAAATGCCTGTACATTAATGGAGCTTTCTACTTTTGCAAAGAATTTGAAGCTACTATGATATTCCTGTATTCTCACCTGCATATGATGCCAAATTTAAACTAATGGCTATTGGCTACTGGTCAGAAAATCCTTGGAACACCAAGCTATAAAATGGAGCATGAGATGGTGAGGGTGTGGACAGGATTCATCTGGCTCAGGACACAAACTAATGGCAGGTTCCTGTGAACATGGTAATGAACCTTGCAGTTCCATAAAAGGCAAGGGTTTTCTTTACTAGTTAAGCAACTTTCAGCTTCACTGTTTTAATACAGAGAGCCACAGCTCCAGAGCGATGTGTAAAACTATTCTCAAACAGCTTAAATATAAAATTTGTGAGCAAAATTTCTGACTCCTCACCTCCACTGGAAACAATTCTGGAGGTGCTCATGTAAATATGATGAGTTAATTTCTCAAGTGTCGAGTACGGCAGTCCAAGGTCACACAAACATCAATTTGCAAATTTAAATCTAAGCCATGTTAGCTGACACATGGGCCGCACCACAGCCCAAGCAGTTAGTCGCTGGCTTTCCACACATGCTATCACAATCTTATCGGTGTTTCAAATGAGTATCAGGAAAGCCCCACTGCTAGTTGCCACTGACATGACATTACTTACATTTATAGACACCTTATTGTGCTCACTGCGTAGACATATTATTGCACTCTATCAACACAGATGAGATGTCAGATAGATCTCCAGAAAGTGGTGACTACTGACAGTATGCACCTGTAAAACTGCCTCAAGCATGGAGTCATGACACAAGGTGGAGCAGTCAGTCACACCAATATACAGAGCCTCATAATTCCACCAGTGGCTAAACATAATTTTATGGAAGTTCTCAACACCACAGTCTCAGCTACTGAGAGCACTGTTAAATATACCATAAATAAATAAAATTTACATATGTCTTTGTTAAGTTCCCATTTCTGTATCATCTGCAGCATTGCCTTTTGAATCGGAACAGGACAAGTATGCTGTTCAAAGGTAACTACTTTTTTTTTTGCAAATATTCAAACAAAAGTGTACTAAAGACTGCTAATGACAGTGTCCCTGCTGTGCCCAAGGCACTGGAATCAGTTCATTTTTCTGTCAGACCACAAGAAAATTGTGTCAAATGTGAGCAGAAAATACAGGTCAACTGTAAAGGGTTTATTTATTTATTTATTTATTCACTTCACATCCATGGATCATTATACATGACATAGGACAAGTCAAAACACTCTATAATCCAATTAAGGACAGCTTACAAAAACAAATAAATAAACCCCCACAGTACAAGTAAACTATAATTTAAAATATCAAATCAATAAAATACAACAACAAAACAATGATTTGCCCAAACCAAACTAAAACACGCCAAAAAGAAAAAAAATTAATCCGTCTCAGATAACGCCGAATCACACGACAAAAAAATTCAGTGTAAATGATGATGGAAAACACACCAAGATTCCAAAACCATTCTGCTCAGAATACCAGACAATAAACAGAGTCCAGAAACCCAGTAAAACACACACACATCACAGTGCATCCCAACAATTTGAGAGGCTGAAGTGTTGGAATTACTGAAGGGAAGGATTTGTGAAGTATACTTCTCAGATATTTTCATGTGGTATGATATATACATCCCAAGTTTCATGATCATCAATCCAGGCATTAAAATAATATTTGCTACAAGCCGGAAGGTCATGAGGTTGATTTCTGACGATGTCATTTGATTTTTCAATTGACCTAATCCTTCCAGCTGCATTATGGCCTCAATATCTCCCAAGTCTATGAACCTCCATGGCCTGTTACAATGAGAGCTTTATGTTTTTACCTATTACCCCAACAATTTGAGAGGCTGCATTGTTGGTGGTATTTCTGAAGGGAAGGATTTATGAACATTGCTTTGACGTGCCCTCAGGTGGCAGGATATATGTACAAAGTTCCATAACGATCAGTTCAGGCATTCAAGTAATATTAAGGCTATTATTATCATCTCAACAATCTGAGAGATTGTTATGTCAGTATTAGTGACATGAAGGATTTATGAAACTTGCCACTGAGATGGCTTCATGTAGCATCATATACATACCATGTTGCATGAAGATTACTGCAGGCATTCAACATTAATGTTTTGCCTAAGAAATTTGGGAGGGTGTAACAACAATATTACTAATAAGGATTTATGAAGTACACCAATGAGATGAGCTCAGGTGCCATGATATAAATACCAAGTTTCATAGAGACTGGTTCTGGCAGTCAAAAGTTGTTGGGGAAGGGGGGATACACAGACAGAAAAACGGCAAAGTTACCTCAAAAGCCCACTTTTATTTTGTCAAAATAATGAAATTAGGCTAAAATGTGTTCAACCCTTATTAAGAAAATGAAATGAAAATGCTTAGGCTCGAATATGAAGGCTGAAGTAATACAAGTCTGTGAAGTTCTTTGCTCATCAAAGAGAAATATGAAGGCACCATGGATCAACTTCTTTGACAATGTCACCATTTTCAGGAATGAAGTGATAGAAGACCGGTGATACAGAAACAGATGCACACCACAGAGAATGAAGATTTGGAATCCCCACTCTCCAAGTGAGACTGCCATACTGATGGACTAATGATTACAGCAAAAAAAGCCCATGATTTTGCAGCAAACTTAAAAAGACTGAGAATTTTCAGTGTTCTGAAGGAAGGAGCTACCATTTCCAAAGCACAGGAAGATATTAACTGTACATAAAGTGTGTGGAAACTCTGCAATATTAAAAACAGGCCCATAATTGTAAAACTCAGTTCAACTTTATGCATCACAGACAATGGAAAGAGTGGACTGAACTAAAAACTTCTAAGGGACGATTTGTGATAAGGCCTTGCTGCAAATACACAAGATTATGTGTCAGACTTCTCAGATGTTAAGAATACTGAACAAGTCTTCATTATTTTTATAAACTTTCCTTGTAACAGGCCATGGAGGCCCATAGGGTTGTGAGATAGTAAGGCTCCCATATTTTCTAGACAAGTGGCTCACAGATGGCAGTGAGGTTGGTCAGCCTTACGCACTGGACGCCATTACCCCCCCCCCGGAAAAGATTCCTGGTCCTCATTTCTGTTAGAGGGTGAGCTGACCCCAAGGCCATAGTGCTGCTGGAAGGATTAGGTCAATTGAAAAATCCAGCGACCTCATTATGAACTGATCCCGCAACCTGGCTTGTACCATAATGCCTCAACCAACTATGCTACCACGTGCTTTAGTGCCACACTGTGATATGCATAATTAGAAATTCGGAGGCAACATCTAAATTCATGTTTTCACCACTTTTAGCAGATACTGCAAGTACCGATTAAAATAATCCCTTTTAGGAATTTAAAAAATTCTAGTTACACTGAAGTTGTCAGATGGGCTGTAGAGAAGGACAGAGTGACCATGAATGAAGAATATTGGGGAGGGGGAGAGAACTACTCTTAATTTCCACATAGCTTCATTATAAGTTTTCTTAATTTTTATTATTTACTTTGGTGGAAATTGACAAGAACATATTCGTATGCTGCCAAGAATAATATATAATGTTCCACTAGTTCTTAAGACAGTTCTATCAAAACAAAACAAACAAAATACAAAAATTTCTTCATGATCCTTTTCATCTTCTTTCACTTCTCTTCCAGTCATCTCCCAAAATGTTTCCATTTCTGACACCCAAACAAAACACTTTTTCAACAACGCATAGATTTCTTTCATCCTATCACTTCACTTCAACAAATTCAATACTCCTGTCTTCCTAATTTTGTTCCATTAAAACTATGAACATCCTTATAATGGAGTTCATTTTTATGATTGTGACTGTAACCTCCTGGATCAGTGCTGCCCATCCACATGATGCTCACACATCAACCATAGTGTCCAACACACTCTCTCAGCAGTTCGATATTGNATTATACAAGCACAGTATCGAGGTTTTGCTGAGGTGCGCGAAAGTGCTGGTAATGGTGGCCAGTAGGTCTGGTCCTAAACAATGGAATATAAGCAGTAATGCTCCCCTGGTTCTGCAATCTCTCAATGTACAGTCAAATGATGCCTCCTTACTGCGGTGATGTCTGTGCTCCAGCAACCGACATGGCTGCCTCTGAAGCCGCCTGTTCCTTCATGTGTTTCTCAACCTGAACATGCACACACATTAGAATACAAATGCTTTTGAAACAAGTTAATAAGAACAGAAATATGTATAAGTCTTTGGAGCCCAAGACATGGATACAAAGAAACATTAACATCGGTCTTAAATAAATAGAATGTGAAGGTGTGGACTGGGTTAAACTGGCTTAGGAGAGGACCAAACGACAGACTTTTATGAACCGACTGATGAACCTTCAGGTTCCATTAATGCAAGGGAATTTCTTATCATCTCATGAGCAAAAACTAAGAACCACAGAGTTATTGCATGTGACAGTACACAAATTTGTGTGTTTCTAATGGACCAGCAGGGTCATCATCCCCACAACTTCAAGTGCACATGTTGAATTCCTGGCCACTGCTCACATTCCCTCCACAAAAACTGAGAATCGCCATGTTAATGTTAAGACCTGTACATTCTTGAAGTTATAACACGCACAGAACTGGCTGCAAGACAAGGTGAGGAGAGTCTTAGAAACCAAGCTGAGCAGACAAGCGTGACCAGTGAGAGAAAAACAGATGTGAAGCAGAACATGCTGTGACTTGCAAGTGTGTATTATGGGACCACTTACACAACAATTATATCAATAAACAAAAACAATACTAACATAACAGCATTCATTTATTAAGCAAAGGTGTCACTTCATGTTCTGACCCTTACAAAGTCACCATCAGATGAATCTACAGAAATGTGATCTTAGTCACTGAATTGTATTTAATATGGATCCATATTATAGTATTTTTAACATTTTTCAGCAAATACACCCTTCTCTTAAAATATAATCTAACAAATACATAAGTTTTTTAAAAATTAAGCTTAGAAATTAAAATTAAACATGAACACTGTAGCATAAAAATGGGGATCCCTTTGCATACAATGCAACATTACAAGCAATAAAAATTGACCATGTATGGAAAACAAAAACAGTGGGGAGTGACATAAATAAAGCACTTAGGAGCCCACTACCAACACTCGCATTGCTTCAACCTACACGTTACCACCTATCGATGACCACATCAAAACCCGATTAACCTAAAAACTTCTAGTTTTTAGGCAACTTAAAATCAATTCTTAAAAGCAAAATATAATTTGGGTAATTAATTTTAAGACTAAAATTATATTAATACTGTGACGCACTTCCTGAAAGCCAGACTATAGGACATCCATCGCTGCACAAGGGGCAATGAGAACACATGCTACCTAGGAAACTGCCTACCGAACAGAAGCAGAATTGCTGAATTCCCACGGCAACAGATATTCCAGCTAACAGCGAAACTGAACCTCTCAACAAGATGGTCTCTATCCTGTCCGAGCATAGGATAGAAGCGAGAAGAATTCAGAGGACCAGGTCAGTTTGTATCTGACTAGAGCAGGAGTCAGTCCAGCTTCAAAGAATGAAGAGCCAAGATGCTCCACTGAGATTAGTGGTGCACATGCGAATAATTGTATTGGTGAGTGTAAAAAGTGACTGTCCAATAAACATATTCATCCAAATCCTAGACCCACACATTTCCTTGTCGCGCTTCCTAGGAAACACATGACAATATTAACATTAATCCAAATCGTATATTTTTAATTTTAATTTCTAAGCTTAATTTTTAAAAAACTGTGTATCTGTTACATTATATTTGGTCCGCACCATAGCTCAAGCGGTTAGTCACTGGCTTCCCAATGCGGTGGCCCAGGTTTGATCCCGGGTCTGGTCAAGTGGGATTTGTGGTGGATAAAGTGGTGCTGAGGCGGGTTTTCTCCGAGTACTTCAGTTTCCCCTGCCAATCTTCATTCCACCAATTGCTCCACAATCACCCTCACCTATCATCTGGGGCTGGTACAATAGGCCAGAAGTGGCTGCAGTACAAGGGACTTAGTCCCACCACACTAGCAATAAAGAAAATACATTATACTTTAACAAATGGGTGCATTCACTAAAGAAGTGGTAAAATACTGTAATAATATGGATCCATGTTAAGAAATACAATTCAGTGACTCAGATCACATTTCTATAGATTTGCCTGATGATGACACTGTACGGGTAGAAACATGCAGCAAACCCTTCACCAAATGAACAAATACTGGTAAGTTAGTATGATTTTTGTTCACTGAAATAACTGCTGTGTAGACAGTCCCATAAAATGTTACTACATGACACACAACAGGATGCATCCCATGAAGACTGTGAATTGCAAGTTAATGCTATGCAAGTTTCAAGAAGACAGTAAAGTGGCATTCAGTAAAACAGAAAAGGCCAAACATAAGCTGCCATCAAGAACTTAATTGGCTATAGACAGTGAGATCATAACTGTTCAAAATACAATAAATGTCACCATATCATGTCTCTTTCATTACAGATAACGAAACTTGGGTACAGTGGTACCACAGAAAGAAGGCCGATAGATAACTGTGCTTCTGCTTTGTATAGTATTCTTCTGCCCCCTCTGGCTTGCATCAACTAACCAGACCTAGTCACTTGTCAGCAGTGGAGGTATTATTACCAAGACTTGTGTGAAGAAAACGCCTGAACAGCCGGAGGGCAACAGGAGAAACTGTGATGGAGGAGGCAGGTGAACAGCTCAAGGGGTATGTGCTCATCATCCATGGCCTCAGACAGGTGCATCCTGAGGGTTACACAGGACATCAGCTTGATGGTAGGGTAACTTCATGTTATCAGGTCAATGATTTTTTTCAAAATCAGGTTTTTATAAAAAATGAGCAAAGTAGCAGAGAGGAGATTATGCAGCCTTGACCGGCACAGAATTTTCTCTCCTGAAACTTCAAAAATCCTTGTTCCCCTTCCTCATTCTTATTCTTTCCAGGAAAATGGGGAACCACCCATTTGTGTTATAACCAGTATAAAATTGGGGTTAGTCTCATTGTGAGCTTATAAGCTGAGAGAAACAGACATGTGTGACCAGTGTGAGGGACACTAGATGTGAAGCCAAAATTGCTGTGGTTTGGAACTGAGTGAGATAATAACTGTTCCAAAACATGACCATTACAATAACACTGAAAGGCAGGACAATTAGTGAACAATGAATTGGAAAGCATGTGAAAGAATATGAGATACCATTCAGCATTTGTCTGGAAGGCCTGAAGAAAACCACAAAAGAGTACAACTAACTGGTCTCCACACCAGATTTAAAAATGGGACCTATCAAATAAAACGGAGTACTAACCATTAAACTGTGAAGTTCAGCTCAAATTTTATCGAAAGATTCAGAAGACACAAACAACATTCATATAGTCCCCTATGTAAAGTGGCCCTTAGAATGTCCAAACTAAGCCATAATCCCCTAAAGAGGTAGTTTTGCTGGTACAGCTTCAGTGGTTTTAGTGTTACCAAGCCTGAGTGTCTTCCTTTCTACCAAGTTCCATGAATATTTGTCAACAGAGATAGCATCCTGTAACAAAACCAGACATGTTGTCACAGAATATACTAGCATTCAAATCTCAGCTGAGACACCAGCTGTCCTGTATGAAGTTTTCACTCCCTTCAAGCAAATGCTGAAATGACCTTGATCAGGCCATGACGCCTTCCTTCCGAAACCTTTCCATGTCATTCATCTATCATCCTACCATCTGCCACTACATAATCTTCATACTTAAAGCATCACTAAATTACAGGAAAAAGCACAAAAACAACACCAGTATGTGTTAGCAGACAGCACATAGACTTTGGCCACATAAAGATCTATGCAGCTGAATCAGGATATGTACTTACTACTTTCTTGATGTGCAGTAAGGCTTTGGTGTCTGCGAGTGCTCTCACATTGTCTAACTTGTATGGGGGCGTAATCATCACACTGTTAAACACCACGATGTTAGACCCCTGCCAACTGACTTCCTTGATGCTGAAAAATGAAGGGACAAAAGTTCACACATGTTCTGATGGTGGACCACTGAACCAATTCCATTTCTTTTCAATAGTGACTGTATGTAATGCTGAAAGTTCCCTGTAAATATTTATTGCTGTTTTTCATTTCTTCACACTACTGCTTAAGTTCACAGAATACTATCATGGAGAGCTTTGCACCTAGTATATCTTAATATGTTCTCTACCTTTAGCCATGGTGTGGCCCCTGATGTACTGTATATTTCCTTAGTGCCTCATAATTACTAATCTTTTCTGAACATGTGGCAGCTTAACTTCACAAATGACACCATACAGTGTTATGAGGAGCAGAATTCTGCAAAGGTACATTAATGACAGGACATATGCATCATTATCTGTGGCAACATCACTAGGCTTGATTATATAAACATGAATTTTTTGGATTCCTCCCCCCATTCCTTCATCCCTCTCTTAAGTACTGGGATGAGTAGGGGTTAAGGCAAGGTTGCGGGGGATGGAGTCAAGCTGGTCTAACCTGAAGTGCAGTGAGACAGTCAGCATTGAGCAGCGCATGAGTACGGCCTAAACTAGAGAACTAAGCAGACGATGAGTGGGCCAGTATAACTGGAAGACGGAGAACGGTCTAAGTTGGCCACAGAACAGTAAGTCAAGTGTACTATAGGATCCTACTCCGTAGAGAGAAATGTTTTGGCTTAATATCAAATATTAAGATATGACAGCCTACTGAGGTGGGTTAGTGAGGCTACGATCACACATAAGGGCACAGTACCTGAGCAATACAATTTCAATTTAGGTTATTTGTTTCTTTCTATTCAAATTGTACTGTCTAATATTGTGATGTATCTTATGTGTTTATGTCATTAAACGTACGAGTATATCACAGATAATCTCTCTCTTATCTTACTACCGGTTTCCCTGCCCTTAAGATATATATACGTAGTGTGTTCAAAAAGTATCGACCCTTTGGTCGGCAGAAATACATTTATTCATTTGGAGGTACAAAACCCTAATCCCCTTCAGAGTAGTCTCCTTGGTAATGCACACACTTCTCACAGCGCTTCCGCCATTGTTGGAAACACTTCTGGAACGCGTCTTTTGGAATGGTGATCGGCCGGGCCGTCGCATTCCGCATGTCTTCTCTTGACTCAAATTGGGTTCCTTTCAGCGGCATTTTCAGCTTGGGAAATAGCCAAAAGTCACACGGAGCCATGTCAGGGGAGTAGGGAGCCTGACGAACCACTGGGATGTTGTGTTTGGCGACAAAAGTCTGAATTAGATGCACAGTTTAAATTTCGCAGACACTCTCCTCATGCCCAAATCATTGGTCAAAATTGAATGTACCGATCCAATGCTTATCCCTATCTCATTCGCAAGTTCTCAGACTGTGATACGATGGTCCTCCATGACCAATGTCCGCACTTGCTCAATGACATTCTCATTTTGACTTGTTGAGGGTCTGCCTGAATGCGGTTCGCTGTCCACTGATGTGCGGCCATCTTTGAAGCGGTTGTACCACTCCTTTATCCGTGAGTTGCTCATGGCATCGTCCCCGAAAGCCTGTTAAATCTTGCGAATGGTTTCCACTTGGGTATCACCAAGCTTTTGGCAAAATCTGAAGAAATATTGCTGCTCATGTTGTTCCATCATTTTACACCTTACTGGAATCTGACGAGCGCTCACTACATGTCCTCACTCATAGGCATACTGACGCTTTCTGCAGGCGGGAAAAAATTCATGACTGCGCATGAATGTCCCCTCCACATCTCCACCAAAGGGAGCATCCCGTGCTTCATTGGTTTACGCAGGAAAAAAGAAGGCTCAATACTTTATGAACACACCACGTATATATATATATATAACAAAAAAGAAACTCCGTGGTATTAGTCCACAAGCAAACTATACCGACCTAGCGACCGCCACTTGTCGGCGAAGTTAGTGCCAACTACAGTGGACAGAAGTTGATGCATGGTCAGCACAACAAATCCCCATGGCCGTTAATTTTGATTTTCTAGGCCGAAGCTGCTATGTCCTTGAAATAGTTCCTCAACTATCATGAGGCTGAGTGGATCCCGTTCCAGACCCACTACTTCTCAGAAAACCTGGCAGCACCAGGAATCGAACCCAGACCTCTGCATCTGCAAGCAGGAACTTCGACCACTAGACCAGAGAGGTGGTCATATATATATATATATTGATTGTCTTCTTAGTTGAAACAACATAGAAGTAGTTTTTGTTAACATCAAAGGTCATGAGAAATTGATAGCAGTGATATCCTCCGATAACTGACTGTAGTAATTATCGGGGGATATCACTGCTATAAACTTCATAAAAAATTTTATCCAATACTCTTCTCTCAAGGTTAAGTCCATAAATTGATGAAATTATTGGGGATCATCAGAGTTGGTTTTGACGTCACAGATCAACTATGGATCAGACCTGTTGCATTTGTCAGATACTGAAGAAAATGTGGGAGTACGATGAGACAGTACATCAGCTATTCGTAGACTTCAAGTAAGCCTATGATTCAGTTAGGAGGGAAGTATTGTACGAGTACAATATTCTAATAGAGTTTGGGGTACCCATGAAATTAGTTAGGCTCATTAAAATGTGTTTAAATGAAACTTATAGTAAAGTCCATATAGGCAAACATTTGTCCAATAATTTCCCTATCCAGAACGGTCTAAAACAAGGAGACACTTTATGGCCACTCCTTTTCAACTTTGTTGTAGAATATGCCATTAGGAAGGGCCAGGGAAACCAGGTGGGACTGAAATTAAATGGGACACATCACCTGTTGGCCTATACTGATGATGTGAATCTACTGGGCGATAATATAGATACCATAAAGAGACACCCAAAAACTTTAATTGATGCTAGCAAGGAGGTTGGTCTAGAGGTAAACACAGAGAAACTAAGTACATGTTGCTGTCTCATCACCAAAATGCAGGGCAAATCATAACATAACGATAGGTAACGGATGTTTTGAACATGTGGCACAGTTCAGATATTTGGGAATAGTAAAAAATCAAAACCTGATGAAACTCAGGTAATGCTTGCTACCATTCAGTCCAGAACCTTTTGTCTTCTTGTCTGCTGTGCAGAAACATAAAAATTAAAATATACAAATCTATAATTTTGCCTGTGGTTCAGTATGAGTGTGAAACTTGGGCTCTGACATTAAGGGAGGAACATAGACTGAGGGTGTTTGAGGAGAATATTTGGACCAAAGAGAGATGAAGTGACAGGAGGTTGAAGAAAACTGCATAATGAGGAGCTTCATAACTTGTGCTCTTCTCCAAGTATAATTAGGATGATCAAGTCAAGGTGGATGAGGTGGGCAGGGCATGTAGCACAAATGGAGAACAGGAATGCGTATAGGATATTGGTGGGAAAGCCAGACGGAAAGAGCCCACAGGGAAGACCAAGGTGTAGGTGGGTGGACAATATTAAAATGGATCTTAGATGGGAGGGGATGGATTGGATTGATCTGGTTCAGGACAGGGACCGGTGGAAAGCTCTTGTGAACGTGGTAATGAACCTTTGGGTTCCATAAAATGCTGGGAAGCTCTTAAGTAGCTGCACAACTGTCGGTTTCTAAAGAAGGGCTCAGCTCCATGAGTGAGAGAATGACAGGTCATGAGAATGACACCGATGTGGCCAGTATATAGTCTCTCATGAGCTCATCGCATTTCCATTTAAGAGCCACAATTTTCATGGACACCTAAAAGAAACTCTTAAAATGTGCAGAATCAATTACAGATAAGCACTCAATACTGATTTAAACATTGTACCTTAAAGCAGTTTCCAAAGATCATCACAAATTAAGTGATATCTGGCAACTATGGTGCACTTCAAGATCAGTGTTCTAATTCAAGCAAAGTATATTGGGTATGTGAAAACACATATGGCAAGTTCTGCAAAAGCACAAAATGAACTTCATCCATCCGGCTCCAAAAGTATGGGGCTCTGACAGCAAAAAGACCAATGACCGCTGCCATCTATACATATGTAAATTACAAGCCATACCACTTATTCAAAATGTGTTTTTCCAAAAATAATTCAATAACATTTTAATTTTAAGCATTTCTCTTCCATTTTCACATATGAGTACAAGACAATTCAGTTTCTTGAAATGAAAACAGAAGCACAAACAATAAATTCTTTTATCATTGAGTAAAATCAATGACTTGGCTTATGAAAATACCAACAAACCACGCATAAGTTACAGGATCTAACCCCTCCACCCAAAAACCACTGGGACTTCAAACATCTGCAACTCAGAAACAAAAGAGCTATTCCTATTAATTTTATATATGTGATAGTATTCCAGAGTATTTAGCCGTGCCATAGCTCAAGCGGTTAGTCACCAGAGTCCCACTGCGGTGGCCCGGGTTTGGTCATGTGGGATTTGTGGTGGACAAAGTGGCGCTGGGGTGGGATTTGTGGTGGACAAAGTGGTGCTGGGGCGGGTTTTCTCCGAGTACTTCAGTTTCCCTTGCCAATCATCTTCATTCCACCAAATTCTCCATCATCATAATCACCTGGGGCACGCTACAATAGGCCAATCAGGGGCTGCCGTGCCGAGTGGACCCAGCTGGACTCCACACACCACTAAGCAAATTAAAAAAAAATTAATTTCCAAAGTATTTAAATGTCTGCCCTTCCTTCCTGGCTAAACACATGTTTTTTCAAATGGCTAGTACTCGGCAAGGGTAGGGTTGATGACCTTGGGCATGAGCCGACAGACAGCACAGACAATGACATTTCAGTAGCCATGGCACGTTGGTATGTAGAGCATCATGTTTCTGCTGTCAAATGGTTTTTTAGAAACACCGATTCCGTAGTTACTGTCCAATAATCCAGATCGTAATACTATACCCGATGGGTTGAAGCATTTGGAACTACTGGATCTGTCATGAAGAGGAAACCATCTGGCCTTCCCAGTTCAGTACGGACCCCAGAAAACGTTGACACAGTGAGAAGGGCGGTTCTTGCTAGTCCCAGACGTTCTGCTAGGCGTCAGGCATTAGCTTTGGGTATGTCACCTCGTTCACTACATCGCATCCTACACAGAGTTGCAATTTCATCCCTACAAAATGATTGTCCAGCATATGGCCAAAGAGGATTTTGCACAACGCAGAGAGTTTTGTGAGGAAATGCTTGCCATTCTTATTGAGATGATAACATGGTAATGATGAGTGATAAAGCATATTTCCATCTGACTGGATCTGTCAACAAACAAAACCGCCGGTTCTGGTGGGTGGAGAACTCATGAGAGGTACACCAAATACTTCTCCACAGCTCAAAAGTGACAGTGTGGTGCAGTGTTTCTAAGTTAGGGATCATTAGTCCTTACTTTTTTGAAGAGGGGGAGACTGCAGTTACAGTGAATTCAGCGTGTTACGTTGACATGTTAAACAAATTCCTGCATCCAGAACTCCTAAGGCGTCGGGTAAACATGAGACAAATGTGGTTCCAACAGGAAGGTGCCACAGTTCACAAGGTAAGAGCATCGATGAAGTTGTTCAACACATGTTCCCCCAAAATGTGATCTCTTGTTTCAGTGATGTTTCTTAGCCCCTGCGCTTCCCTGATCTATTGGTTTGTGGGGATACCTCAAGGCAAGAGTGTACATGAACAGACCACAAACGATCCAAGAGCTGAAACTCTCCATTCATCAAGAAATCGCAGCTGTGCCGGAAGACACGTTGGAGAATGCGATGCAGAATTTTGAGGAGAGGCTCCAAATGTGTGTCCAGCAAGGACGTCATATGACTGACATTATTTTCCATACATAACGTAAGTTAAAAATACATTAAAATACCTTTTTTGTGTAATTAAAAAGGGTTTACCTTGAAAATCAACAAAGTTATTCTTATGTGAAAAACATGAGTTTCCTCTGCTCCACCCTGTATATGAGTTGAATATCTGGAATTACTATGGTGTGAATGTTATCTTCGTATCTAACCTTAAATGTTCTTCCAGTCCGACCAGTGTATTTCAATGGGTAATCTAGGCATTTCATTTGACAGATGCCACTACTGTTGTATTTATCTGTGTGTGTGCTGTTTTAATACGATTTTTATCATATTTTGTGTGTGAAAAGCTATTTTTATTTGCGTATTTTTGAACAGCTTGGTTATGTGCCTTTCTTCTTTGCTGCAGTATGTAAAAGTGACCCCATTTTGTCTTGCGGTGCTTGGGGTCTGTGCGTATGTTTTATTTTAGTGGTTGTGGTAGTAGTTTTTTAATTAGGTTTGTGTTGTATCCATTTTTTCATAGTTTGTTTCCATTTGTTTTGATCTTTTGGTTACTGGGTATGCGTGTAACCGATTTAGTGGATAATACCTGAGACGTTATGTTCATATGGATGGCAAGAACTATTAGGTACTGTGATATCAGTCTGTGTGGGCTTCCTGCATATGGAAGGTCCTTATTTTTCATCTTTGCGGTGTTGAGATCTAAAAAGTTAATCTCTTAGTGTGATTCTTTCTCTACAGTAAATTTATGGATGGTTGTAGGTTATGATGAGTTTGTTCATTTTCATTTTGTTTTTACCTTTCTTATCAATTACCATTCTTCTTTGTTCTTCTTTACTTATTTTAGCTAATGTCATTTTATGTTTATTGCAACCATGTGCCCATAATATTTTTTCTGTTATATCCAAATAAATGGTTTATTGCTGTATCAGACAGACAGAAGCTTTGATTACATATTCTACACAATCAGTATGTCTACCATACAACAGAAAACACAGACCGTGTTGTGTGATATGCAAAATTAGAATCCATTGTTCAAGTACAACATGAGTTTAGATGTGAATATAGTGTATGGCTACCTAATGACAAGTGCATTTGGAGATGGTACAACAAATTCAGAGAGACTGGCAATGTGGGGAAAAAGACGTTCTAGCAGGCAGCGTACGAGATCTGACAAGAGGTGTGGATCATATTATGCAGGCTTTCATACAGAGTCCAAAGAAGCAGATCTCCTGAGTGCATGCAGAGTTATGGATGATGCAAGCAAGTGCCCACACAATTCTTTAGAAAATCCTCTGTCTAAAACCATACAAACTACAGGTAGTCCAGAAACTTACAGCATGTAACAAACAGCTCAGGTGGCAGTTTGCACAGATTTTGGAACATGATAATTTCTTAAATCTGATGCCTTCCCTGATAAGGCAGAATTTCATATCTCTGGAAGTATGAATCAGCATAACTGTGTCTTCTGGGGTATTGAGCATCCATGGGAACATTTGAACATGGATGGGAGAGTCCTGAAGTGAACGTATGGCCCATTTTTCATGTGGACATAAGTACATGCAATTCATTCCCAGAAGTGTTGGAAAATCATGCTCTTTCACAGCTCAACAATAATAATCTTATTCTTCAAATGGATGGTGCACGTGTTCATTTCACTCATGCTATCTATCCGTGACCCGCCATACAGCTTCAGACTCTCTTCTTTGGGGCCATGTGAAAGGGAAGGTGCAGAGGTGGACTATACGTCGGGTGTACGCACACCTTAAGATGACATTCACTGTGAAGCATTTTGCACCTAACAACTTTTCAACTTGCATGTAAAGAAAACTGTTTCACCTGATAAATAAAATACTCCAAACACCCTTGTATCTGCTTTTGTTCCTAAGCTACAGGTGAAATCCCAGCATTCCTTTTGACAGACCCTGTATAGTCTGAGCTAATGACAGTGTTGGAAAATAAAAACTTGCTTGTTAAATAGTTGTGTCCTCTGATTACAAGCATGTTGCTGATTTCTGGAGAATTCAGTTGTGTGCATGTATGTGCCTGGAGGTCGACTCTTGTGTTTGTGATGATAATGGGATTCAAAACATTAGACTTATAACTATGGGAAGGAGGGCGCCCCACTGTCTAGCAGCGAAGCAAGTGAAGAGTTCAGTGATGGGGTTTTGTACCTTAATGGAGCATGCACTAATTGGTAAGACAACATACGTCTTTGAGATGGCAAAGAATAGCTTCTGTCCTTCTGGAGGAACACTTGCAGACAGGGCAGTGACAAGCCTTCGCTTCTCATCAATCTGGTTGCGTACCCTGCTGTTTAGCTGCAACAGAACACCATATCACACATTTGACATTCACAGGTTTCTGCATGAATGTATCAGTTACTGGACAGCAAAATCAGATAGACTTGCTCAACTGAATTATGCCATTAATTAAGTACAGGATGCCACATTCAGGGTCAAAGCCTCACAATCAGCCGACTCCTTCAAATGTGCATTAGTGAAAAGCTCCAAGTGTACCTCCCGTAATGTTAAAAATATCAACATAACATTCTGTCTTGGTCCAAGCATCTTTGTTTCTTCTGAGGTTACCATAACAAGGGCCATTAACCTGGATAAGAACTTCAATTTTCTACAAGCAGATGGAGATGAAACTGAGAGGTTCCCCAGGATGGGGGTGCACTTTCAGCATCTTTGTTCGAGCCCCTCTAATTAAGAAGTATCCAGGTTAAGAAACAGGAGAGGTAGTCCTATTTCACAGGTTCTTAGACCCAGACATTTAATGCCTACTGAGTTTCTTTTCTGGAGCGACATAAAAAGAGTAGTTAATGGCAACTTCAGATGTATAAACTATGTTGAAATATTAAGATAAAGGATTACAGCTGCTACTGAGACAACACCAGAAATGCTTGATGTTTTGTCTGGAGCAGAATACAGTCCTGATATCACATTACAAGAGGGGCAAATGTGAAACTTTACTAATGCAATCACAAATTATGTGTAATTCGTTTTGTTTTTTGTTTTATAAATATAACACTTTCAACGGGTAAATATTTTGTGAACATCCTGTATGTGAGGTGTGTAACCCAGCAGAAGATGAATGACATTTCAGAGAGATATACTGCCTTCATGTCAAAGGTTCTGCTTGCCTCCTGCTTCCTTAGCTTACTCTTTTTAACCTAAAAAGCATGGATAAGATTCAACCACACTACACTGCACTACCTCCCAGAAGACAGTGCTCTTCACAGAGCTATTGGAAGAACCTCAAATCCAACTGTGTAATAAATTCAACACTACTATCATATATAACAAGATTTCAGTGTGCCACACATCCCAGTAACAGTCAGACCCTACCCACACACAGCATGTCAGCAAGAATGTCTCTTTGCACATCATGCTTCTTGGTAAGGAAGAGTGGTACACATTCTTTCTTGTATCTGATGGGCAACTGGACCTCCCATACCAACACCAATGCAATTTTCAGCAACACAGGCTCTGCACTGCAGTTCCCCTGCCCTCAGGACACCCAGGAAAAGTGCTGTTACAAGACTTTAATCAGTAACTTGAATTTCCATACCCCACACACTCTACTGGACACATACCTACATATATGCATGTACTGTTCATATTTCACAAAAAATCAGTATATACAGAAGTAACATGCTGCACACCTACACTACTACAATCATGCTAGCTCATACATTTAACACCTGCTCACTCCACTCTCAACACCTTAAACACATAAACATTACTGCCTTACACTACCATCTCTTGGCATTTTAATGAAAATGTTCATACATGTTCACTAATTATAGTTTCTGCAGCACTGTACAAACAGGGAAAGGTTTTGTGTTGCTACAAGAATATATGAATAATATGAAAATACTAATTTACTAACTCTTGTAGTAGAACACAAACTGCTAATACCAAAGTCCAACTCAGCACACAATCTTGAACCAATTCCATCCAACTCTCCTCAGTTTTAAAATTTACCTTGCAATCACTAAGATCCATGTTAATGTTATACCATTTCCTTGCTTCTCATATGGATCACTCTCCCAGAGCTCTCGTCACTTAAACTCTGCAGCAGGCTCAAGATTCAGAATATCACTCTTGGACAAAATAACAGGGAGACATACTTACAGAAATAAAGAAACTCCAAGAGAACTGAAGCTCATTACATATAATGCGGGGACTGGCACAACTGCAGAAATGGAAATCCTTTAGAACCGTAATAATTAGCTATTACACAAATATGACAGGAGACCATCAGGTCAAGATACATTAACTCACTTTAAGTTCAGATTTTCAAGTATTTATGTACGCCAGAGAGCTGTGTACCATGAAGTGATGCAGTTCATAATGTGCAAGTAACTGTATCTTCAGCTTTTTGCTGTTCAACAATTGGATCAATTTCATATATCACAAGGACTGACTGTTCACTGTGCTGCAGGCAGAAGAATGTCAGCAAGTGCAGTGGTGGATGGGAAGTCAGCAATCCTAACCATAATGCTCTGGACTCATACTTGGGACATACTTCGTTCAAATCTCAGTCAAGACAAAGATATCCTAACTGGGGTTTCCTGCGGTTTCCCTCAGCCTCTGCAGGAAAATGCTGGAACAGCACCTTGATTCGGCCACAATCACTTCCATTACATCACCCAGTGCAATAGGGGTGGTACTGAAAATAATCACCGTGATCGGCTCATGGATGTGTTATCAACAGAATGAGACTAGGTGTCACACGGCTAATAGTTGTATCCCTCTGCTACAATCTCAAACACAAGTCCAGTGCATGTGCAGCAATACTTACCCACGGTCCACTGCAACAAAATGGCTGTGACATAATGCTTTGCCAGCATGCTCAAACTGAGCTCCTCATAAAAGAGAACAATTCTGCTGTAAAATATCTTTGTTCACAGAGTTAGTAGAGAGTCCGTCAACTGTAACAATTTGTAAGTCACTTTTTTAATATCACTTCTGCCTTACATGTTTCGGTTTGATACAACCATCATCAGAGGCACTTGCTATAACTATGGAAACACTGTCGTTGTTTATGATGTTCACAGTTATGTTTGTCATGTAGACGCTGCTACAATATGCTGACGTGTAAAAGCACAAAACTTACTAAGATAGTTGAGTACACTATCAAGTTCTCACTTTTCATCCGAAACTGTTTTAAGTTAAAACGCTAAATGTTAAAATATTTAATCTAAAATGCTGAATTCCTCCTTGTTAGTTCATCCCGAAGATGGGAGACGTCAGCTTGAAGTTGTATGGCTGCAAAGATATTGTATTACTTAGGTTTTATATATTATTATATATATTGTTTAGTGTTGTATTTGATTCTCGCTTACCTTATGGTTCGATGTTTCTTATGTGCTGTGTGTTGTGTACTGCAGTAGGAATACTACATCTGGTGTTATTTAAAGCCTTGTGTGTTATGACGCGGTCTGGGGTGTGTTTATACAAGTAGAGATGAGGTCAAACATGCTGTTCTGGTTATTGATTTCCTTTGCCTGTTTCTGCTCGTCTATTAGTTTATTATCCTTGTAGTGGCGGTAAATTTGGTATTCTNTGTTCAGCTTTGTCATGTTTATGGTGATTCCTTTATGGGTGCCAGCAGTGTGCAATATTGGATGTAATACTTCAGAGATGGCAACAGGGACATCACCAATCTGCCTCACACTGGTTGACCAGGAACCACCATGAAATGCAATGAGCACAGAGTTGATGTGTTCAACACAGATGACCAGGGGAGATGTTAGGGAAGTTGTAGAAGTGCATCTTCCCACTTGACAGTGCCATGCAGGAGATGACAGAGGAGCACTAAGGGGCACATATTGATGTCACTGCAGTTACTACAACAGGCTGCCAAAGATGATGGCTTCCTATTATACACAGTCATTGAAAGCTAATTGCACTGTTCTGACCCCCCAAAAAAAATAACACAGCACATATCATGCTGTATCTCTAAAGAAGGAGGCCACAACCAGACACAGCTTGAAAAATTATGGGAACAGTTTCCTACGACGCTGAGTGGGGCATACTGGTTTGTTTCCTGCCAAAAAAGGAAACTGTCAGTGTAGCTTGCTATAATAAGATGCTCCAGAAATTGCAACATACACATCATGACAAGCACCCCACAAAAATAACATAATTTTTCAACATAATTAAGCACCTCTCACATTGCACCCCTGACATCAAGGAAAACTGGAAAATGTAGCTGAGAAATGCTCCTCAACTTCTCTATGATATGGACTTGCTCCTAAAAGATAACATGAAAATTACAAGACAGTCCAACAAACTCATGTATTTGATAAAATCCTGAAGTACCCTATGAAAATTTTGTTAGGAGATTTCAATGCTGAAGTCAGTAGGGAAAACATTTTCAAACCAACGATTGGGAATGAGAGTTTGCATGAAATTAGTAATGATAATGGAGTTAGAGTAGCATAGCGGCCTCCGTAGTCTAGGGGTAACATTCCCACCTCATGACTCAAGGTATGCGAGTTCAAACCCGGCGGAGGTTGTGGAATTTTTAAGGGTGGAAAAATTCAGGGAACAAGTCCTCTGGGAGGGACTTTAAGCCGTGGGTCCTGTGCCGTAGATTTACGGCACATAAATGATCCTCATGTCTCTAGGAGACCTCTGAGCAAAGTAGGTAAAAAGTTTCCTGCCCAAGTAGTTTCCAATGCCTCTGATAGATGGGGGAAGTATCGGGTACCATTTGCCAGTAGAGGGGCTGAACTCGCTGGCTGAGCGGGGCTGATAGCAAGCACCAGTACTGGTAGGGTATGGCGACAGTAGAAATTAGAGGGGGACATACAATAGACTACTAGTCGCGGTGCATGGGGAAACCCACCCCCTCTAATACTAATACTAAAATAATAAGAGTAGCAAACTTTGACACATCAGAAAACTTTACTGTCAAAAGTACAATATTCCCACATTGTAACATCCATAAATTTACTTGGACATCTCCTGATGGGAAGGCACACAAACAAATTGACCACATAATGACAGATAGGAGATGACAATCAAGTATACTTGATTTCCGATCATTCATAGCAGCAGATTGTGGTACTGACCACTACCTGGTAGTAGTTCATATGGAGAGGTTCAATCTCAAGAAATTAAATGAGGTAAAAGGTAAAGAGCAGTATTGTGCTGAAATCTCAAATAGGTTCATGGCTTTGAAAAACTTGGAAACTGAGGTGGATGTTAATAAAGCTTGGGAAACTATTAGAGAATATAAAAATGTCTGCCAAAGAGAGTCTAGGTTATTATGAACCGAAGAAGCATAAGCCATGGTTGGATGAAGGATGCTCAAAATTATTAGATCAAAGAAAGCAGGCCAAATTGCAATGGTTACAGGATCCAAGCGAGTTAAATGGGGAAAATCTGAACAATATAAGACATGAAACCAGCAGGCATTTCAGGAACAAAAATAGGGAATATCTGAAAGACAAAATTGATGAGCTTGCAATGAACAGTAAGAACAAGAACATTAGAGACCTGTATATAGGAATAAATGACTTTAAGAGGGGTTACCAGCCTAGCAGTAACTTAGTGAAGGATGAGAATGGTGACCTGCTTGCAGAATCCCACAACATTTTGAATAGGTGGAGGAACTACTCCTCTCAGTTGTTGAATGTACATAGGGTCAGTGATGTTAGGCAGATAGAAATCCATACAGCTGAGCCATTGGTACCTGATCCTAACCCTTTTGAGGTTGAAATTGTTATTGTAAAATTGAAAATGTATAAATTGCCAGGTAGTGATCAAATTCCGGGAGAACTTACTCAAGCAGGAGGCGAAATATTACGTTATAAGGTCCATGATCTAATTACTTCTATTTGGCATAAGGAAAAACTGCCTGTTCATTGGAAGAAGTCTATTATTGTACCAGTTAACAAGAAGGGTGATAAAACCGACTGTAGTAATTATCGTGGAATATCACTGCTATCAACTTCATACAAAATTTTATCCAATATTCTTCTCTCAAGGTTAAGTCCACACACAGATGAAATGACTGGGGATCATCAGTGTGGGTTTCGACATAACAGGTCAACTACAGATCAGATCTTTTGCATTCGTCAGATATTGGAGAAAAAATTGGAGTAAAATGAAACAGTACATCAGCTATTCATAGACTTCACGAAAGCCTATGATTCAGTTAGGAGGGAAGTATTGTACAATATTCTAATTGTGTTTGGGATATCCATTAAACTAGTTAGGTTGATTAAAATGTGTTTAAACGAAACATATGGTAAAGTCCGTGTAGGTAAACATTTGTCTGATAAATTTCCTATCCAGAATGGCCTAAAACAAGGAGACGCTTTATCGCCACTTGTTTTCAACTCTGCTTTAGAATATGCCATTAGGAAGGTCCAGGGAAACCAGGTGCAACTGAAATTAAACGGGACACATCAGCTGTTGGTCTATGCCGATGATGTGAATCTACTGGGTGATAATATAGATACCATAAAGAAAAACACACAAACTTTAATTGACCCAAGTAAAGAGGTTGGTCTAGAAGTAAACACAGAGAAAACTAAGTATATGTTGGCGGCACTATAGCTCAAGCAGTTAGTCGCTGGCTGGCCACCATGGCAGCCTGGGTTCAATCCCGGGTCTGGTCAAGTGGGATTTGTGGTGGACAAAGTGGTGCTGGGGCAGGTTTTCTCTGAGTACTTCGGTTTCCCCTGCCAATCTTCATTCCACCAATTGCTCCGCAATCATCTTCACCTATCATCTGGAGCTAGTACAACAGGCCAGAAGTGGCTGCAGTACAAGGGACTTAGTCCCACCCCACTAGCAATAAAAAAAAAGTATATGTTGTTGTCTCATCACTAAAATGCAGGGAAAAATCATGACATAAAGATAGGAAACAGATGTTTTGAAAATGTGGCACAGTTCAGATATTTGGGAACAATGATAAGAGATCAAAACTTGATTCAGGAGGAAATTAAGAGGAGACTGAACTCGGGTAACGCTTGCTACCATTCAGTCCAGAACCTTTTGTCTTCTTGTCTGCTGTCCAAAAACATAAAAATTAGAATATACAAAACTATACTTTTGCCTGTGGTCCTGTATGGGTGTGAAAGTTGGTCTCTAACATTAAGGAAGGAATATAGACTGAGGGTGTTTGAGAACAGGGTGTTGAGAAGATTATTTGGACCGAAGAGAGATGAAGTGACAAGAGGTTGGAGAAAACTGCATAATGAGGATCTTCATAACTTGTACTCTTCTCCAAGTATAATTAGAATGATCAAGTCAAGGAGGATGAGGTGGGCAGGTCATGTAACACGAATGGGGGAGACGAGGAATGCAGGTAGGATATTGGTGGGAAAGCCAGAAGGAAAGAGACCACAGGGAAGACCAACTTGTAGGTGGGTGAACAATAATATAATGGATCTTAAGATAGATAGGATGGGTTGGTATGGATTGGGTAAATCTGGCTCAGGACAGGGGCCAGTGGAGGGCTCTTGTGAACATGGTAATGAACCTTCGGGTTCCATAAAATGCTGGGAAATTCTGGAGTAGCTGCAGAATTGGTGGCTCCTCCAGAAGGGCTCAGCTCCATAAGTAAGTAAGTCCAACAACTATGTGTACCCAGCTGCAGAGTACTAAAACCACTTTACTGCATTGGCATATTCAAGCTCATGCAACACTCACAGAAATGACTTGTTCATTCCGGGGATTCTGTGGAATAGTGGCAGGACATCACCAGTAACTCAAGATGGTATCTGTTTTCATACATGCACCTTTGCTTTTTCTTTTCCTTTGGTGCTACAGCCCCAGTTTGAGCCTTGCCCTACTTCCACGAAACACTCTTGTATCACTTCAGTTTACTAGATCTTAAGACATTCAGTACGACACCTTGGGTGGGTGATCAGCTCATTGCAAGGCCTCTACGTGTACACAAACACAGAAAAAAGCACGCGCGCGCACACACACACAGAAACACTGAACATCCATTCCCTGAGTGGGATTTGAACCCACGATTCTGGCTTCAGAGCGAGCGAAGGCAGTGCATGCCTTAGAACACTCGGCTACCGTGACTGGCCACCTTCGCTTTACTATAAAGTAAATAAATGTGTTTATGACTTTTGGTACAGCCTATGTACACATATTCTTGATACTGACAGCCTCATTAAATAGCCTATGGAAAGAAAAAAAAAACAATCTTCACAAAAAGTACTATATACATATTTGGGCATTATCATTGTACATGCAATAAATGAACTGTTTTAAGAGCCACAAAGAGTGAAATGCACACACACACGCTCTCTCTCTCTCAGTCACACCAACTGCTCCAAATTTTGCACTGTTTGGCATTCCTTTCCTAACACCTCTAATTAATTACATAGCTCTCTTTCATTGATTTTAAACAGTCAAGAAATTCCACTATTATAGGTCCCTCATAATAAAGTAACTCTACCGGTGGACTTTGCCTCAACTAAACAAATCCATTTCATCTTCATAACTTATTTATCTAAGACTGATCAACTTTAATATCCGCCAGTCACACCAAAATCTACAGTTGTCCCTTCCCATGAAATTTCACATTTTTAAATGCATTTCCCTTATTTTCCATGTGACTGACATCATGCCAGTATAATTCTTTTTTTTTATATCACCCAAACTGCACTCAGTGAAGAGTAAATTTATGAAACTCTTCCTATAATTACCTCAATTCCTTTGGCAATTCAGTTTTCCCAGAACCAAAACTTTTTATTCAGCATTAATCTCCAACACCCTCAATGAGAGAGACCCAGCATTACACAATGTTACAGTTTGCCAGACAATATCTCGGTTATCAATGCTTACCCTACATAAATCTAGTGACTGTGGAGCTTCTGGTACTGTGTTCACTTCTCTTTTAACTTGGACATCGCTCACCAATGACAGGTTGATGATATGAACGTCATTCAATGGCGCTTGACCATTTGATGCTGGACATTCTACGCTATAGTAAAGGAAAACTCCAAAAACATACCACCACCAACTTGAAGAGTAAACCTATTCCTGCATGTCACATGCTTCATCCCTTCCCTATACTTGTATTGCTAAGAGTCTTGTCTCAGAACGCACTTCCTGATACCTGTCTCATGAAATCCACATACTGGTTAAAATTAGCGTACGAATTCACCCATATACACAATGCAAAGTATTGCCCAACCCTCAATACTGCAAATATTAATATATTAACAACATTCACAAACAGCACACTGCTGGTCGAAAATTTAAAAGGATACTAAGAATAAGCATTTTTGTTTGAGGATCAAATGCAAGAACCTCTCCTTCTATTTCCTTGTTATAACATGTTTTACAAGCTACAATACTTCCAATGCTAAAACACTCATTCACTCCTGCCATTTTCTGTCTCATCTTCTCTTAATCTGGTGTCGCCACGCCACCAGGCGGTAAAATAGCAGTACTAAACCAGAGCCTTCTAGATTCTAGAGCTATCTAGAGATCTAGAGCAGAGAGCGCTAGAGAGCCATATGGTACTTAGCCCTTTATACGCATCAGTGCAAGAATCCCGCCGGCAGGACAGAGTCCTATAGTGTTCGGTGCTATTACATATTGCACGTTGATTTGCCTACAGTCCACATGTTGTAAGGTCTTAACAGGTTTAGATACCACAAGATTGAACACGGATAGCAGAATACAAGTGGAATCATTTAATAATACGGCCCTGAAGAACCTTCGAAACTTTTATCTACAGAACTAATGACATCCCCAACGTAATTTCGTTATATGAGGCTCTTCGTACAACGTGGCTATCAAAATGTTTAATACTGGTGTGGCCGTGATAGAGCCGCTTATTGAAGGCACGCTGGACTTAATTTCAGGACGTAAGGGTGACGGCTCCTAAGATATTTTTTGTAATTGCCTAATACCCTGTGAATTAACTAGATCTTTGCATACCATCCCATGTGCGTTATTGTACAGGATTTTCTTGACAGTGGCTGAAGCTATCCCTCTAACAGGTCGTGAAGGACTATAGGGTTGTGAGGCGACGAGGCTCCCACATTTTCTAGACAATCGGCTCACAGATTACTCTTAAGGTTGTCAGCCTCATGCACCGCCCCCCCACCACCACCGCGAAGATACATGGTTTCTTAACATAGTTCGGTTATCAGATCTGACATGTATGGCAACTGGAGAAAACTGGCACAAAAACGGCTTCTTTAATATTTTGCATAAAGATGCTACCCAATTCACCTCTCACACACCAACATCCATATCTTTTACTAAAATATATCTTTGTTTAAAAAAGCCTCATATCATTCATAAATCCTTTCATCCTACACCCTTTATTCTGATCTTCATTTCTTCCAATAATATGGGTTTGCTACCAAGGTGAAGATGGGAAGAATGCGTGTGGCAGGACATAAGAATTTTGGGTGTAACGAACTGGAGGAATGTAGCATCGAATAGAGAAGAACGGCGAGCAATCCTGAGGAAGACCATGGCTCACAAAGGGCTGTCGTGCCAGTGATGATGATGATATGGTTTGCTAAACATGGACAGCAGTCCTCCAAAATCCAAACTGTATATACTCTGGTACAGCCTCAATAATTGGAAAGGATCCACAATTTAGGCACACTGTTTTTGCTGAAAACAATTTGTTCTCTGCAGTCTTCAGTCTCCTCTTGACCTTGATGTCAATTTACTTGAGACATAAATGTTTGTTCACTATGTAAATCTGAAATGCAGACAGATTTACATTACTGCCTCACATCTATTACATATTAACAAAAGGCTCAAATAGAAATCACATTCTGCTGACATATTTTATCAGGTATCATGTCTGATAAGTAACTACCAAGTTCAACTGGACCATCACGTGGAATGTAATGACAAATTAAATTCACCAACCCCCACTATCAAATTTGATCAAAGCTACTGATACGAGATATGTAACTTAAGACTAACATAGCCTCCCCATCAATGTTTTAAATGTATGCACTTCATACACATTTATGAAATGACCAAACAAGCTAAGCTAGGTCTATGTTTGTCTTCAGGAGGTGCTTGGCTTGAATCTTGGCTAGGATACTGCCTTTCCTCAGGTTTTTCTCAGTCCCTCCAGTCAAAGGCTGGAAAAGTTCACAACTGCTTTCCTTCACACCCTTTCCCAGTTCTTCACTCACCAGCCTTCCTACCATCTGACACTACACTGTCCAGATACTGACATCTCTCATGACTGTGAGGACATTAACTGCAATACATCAACACTTTCTCAATTTTATTATTTTTTTAACAAGTACAAACTGCTGCTACAATTCTACATACATTTCGTACCTTACACATTAACGATTACTGCACTGTGGTGTTCATTGTCCCCTCACTATAATCACAGAAATTTGCTCCTCGCAACATGTTGCCACTTTATAAGCACAAAGTGGGAGGGGCACTTTCAAGAATTTCAATAAAAACCGTTTACTGTACATCCTTAACAGTAGGGGAAAAACAAAAGCCAGAGTACAATACTCCACAAATTATTGCACAAGTTTGTACTTTTTTTAATTCGCATTATTGTTGTGTATGTATTACTTATATAAATTACACAGTGGCAGCTCTATACTTAAACATATTATCACACAGGCGAGGGGAGAGAGATCATGCACAAGTGGCTCACAACAATGCCCACCGATAATCATAAAAGGGAAGAACAACTGCAAAGTAGGTCACTCACACACGCTGTCACAGCACTGCGAACAAAATACAAAAGGCACTTAGTAGTTCTTGCAGCACTATATATTCTATCAGTTTTATTTAGCTCACAGCCATTTTATTAAAAAGGTGCACAAGGGTAACGTATGTTCCGAGACCACTGCAGCCCACCAGTGATACCAAAGGTAAAACATCTGAGCTTTAATCTAGAAAACCTTCCACTTTGATCTGATGAAACTTACAGGTGAAGTGCATTCATGCATCATGCCCCTGTCTGCATAAAACTGGAAGACTTCCTAAAGATCTCCAGTAGCATACGGTGTAGTGTGTATATACATTAGTCTTTTTGTTCGTGCCGCCAACAGATGGCTAATTACATGGCATGACTAGCTACGTAAAACCTGAGAACTCTTTCGGATGAGAACATGTTTGAGTAGAACCAATTTTCTATACTGAAAGCTCACCTTCAGTTTCATCTCATTTAGTCCACTCTTTCAGAAAACCTTATTCTCCATGAGCATACAATAGGAACTTTACACTGCAGTATGATAAATATACAATTTTATTTATTTGGCGATGGTATTTGAGCAACGCAAACTTTGCACATGAGACTGGTCCCTCCAGCAATGTTTCTCGTCTATGCAGAAACAAATACCAATCAAGCCACGCAAAAATAAATATCTCCTTGCCACACAATGAACACATTAATCAAATAATTATGGCTATTTTTATAAACTGATTTAAATTCTCAACACAAGATTTTGTGTTGTCTTCACTTTGAAAAGGTACAATATGCTACAAGATACAAGATTATAACTATTGTCATATTATTATTACTATTATTATTGTTATTAAAACAGGTGAGAATATAAGTAGGTGACACACTTCACCAGCTGCCATGAGGGTTGTGCATCCTGCGGCCAGGTTAAAACTCCCCCAAGTGGGCACAAGTCACCCAATACTTAAAGTAACTAGCAACAAAAGGCAACATAGGAATGAAGTAACTTCTTGGAACTGCAGCATGTGTTCTCACACCCCACATTCTGCCTGCTGCCATATTAACACCAAGTCCCTAATTCTCACAATCCTTTCTTGTCACATCCTTCTTTCCAAGAAATTACTTTACGAAACAAATATATGCTACATGGTAAGTTATACAATTCTAATTTTTACATCACCAAATATTTTAAATTACAAGAGAAAATATACATTACTAAAAGTAGAAATAAGTTAACTAAAAGTACTGGACAGTTCAGAGACTCAATGCTTGCATCTGGTGGCATGCTTCGTGCATCACTGGAACACAACTGGGGGCTGCAAGGACAGCAGGTGCATCTCCCGCACTTCCCAGTGATTCCTCATCAACACTACCTATGAGACTGCTGATGCTCGAAGTTCCTGCTACAGACAAAACTTCCATACTGTTCACCACACTCTTCGAGTATTTCTCATTAGCTCCTCCACTGCTACGAGAATTTGCACTGTTTGGAGTGCTACCCTCATTTGATGTGCTATTGCCAGATTTGCGTGAGCTACTGAAGAATCGCCGTTGTGGCATACCAAGCTGTTGTTGCATTCCATTGGAGGGAGGACGGTAGGACTGACGGCCTGCACTACTTCCTGTGCCAGGGTAGAACTGCGTCTGTTGGGGAGGAGAAGTGGAATCAATTACAGGATGGGTCATAGGAGAGTATGGGGCAGGAGGTGGGGAAGGGACATCAGTGATGGTGGTAGCACTTGTAACAGCAGTAGCAGCAGTGATGGCAGTAGTGGCAGTGGTAGTAGTCATGGTGATGATGGCAGTGGAGGTGATGTGTGGTATACTGCTCTCAGCAGGGGCACTAACACTGCTGGTGGACACAGCACAAGAAGAGTTCTTATTGACAATGCCACCACCAGTGCCAGTGCTGATGCACTGGCGCTGCAATCTGCCTGAATTAGGTCCCATGTATCGTCCACTATCCCGCCCTCGATATTGTTGATTCCTATTGTGACGCTTCTGATTCTGAATATGAGGGTTATTGACACCTGATATGGACATGTGATTATTATTTAAGAAATGGAACTTGGGAGGAAACGGTGGGATATGAACTGACATGGGTGAAGACTGGTTGCCAGACGATGACCCTCCACCACGCCGATTTGTGTAAGATTTTGACATGTAAGGGGCTCGGTGATTTTGAAACTGCACAGGATAGTTTCCACCAGGATGCTCAGAATGGCCATTCACTATGCCAGGTGGTGGAAACTGGTTCATGTAGGGAACGGTTCCAGATGGCTGGCCTGTTGAAGTGACAAACATGGGTGGCACAGACTGATATAGAACAGGCACCAGAGGGGTCTGGGACTTGTTTGGGTTTGGCAAAGGGGGTGGTACCTGTTGATAGTATGTCTGTTGGGGGGATGCAGTGGTCATGTAGTCTTCAATTGCCGCAAATGAGTTCTTCTTGCTGGGGCAGATATCCAATTCATCACCCATCTGCTGGAGTTTCCGGAGGGAAACAACAGGTGTTGAGGCATTCTGGCGCTGACTGATGGTCAAAGGCTGGCTGTGTGCTGTGGTGATGGGTGCCACCCACCCACAGTTACCTGACAACTTGCTGTCACATTTAGCGTTCGTCCTCTCCTGGTCTGGTGGGAGTCTGTAATTTCTGCCACCTCCACTTCTAACAGTGTCTGAATTGCTTGAATTCGAACAACTGTCCTACAAATTACACAAACCAATCAGAAGAAAACTCAATTAAAGTTTATGCTATACTATTTAAAGTTATTATAATTGCATGCTTCATGCCTATGAAACTTAACACTCATGCCATGAAAACATCTTAAGCCTGGAATTCCTCATCTCAAGTACACACATGTATTGTACAGTGTCAGGTTTCAGTTCCCATAAACCTTTGTGGAGAAGCCTGCAGAAATTGTATAACTAAGTGACCTCACTTTACTCATGATATCCAACATCTGAAAGTTGACAAACGAAACCTGAACATGAAGAAAGTCGTCTTCTGGGTTTAGGCACCGTGTATTCTTCGTTTTGGCCGACGTTTCGGAGGAACGTATCGCCTCCATCTTCAGAGTAGGTGAATGAATGGCTTGGAATGCAGAGAGCAGTAGCTGCATTCCAAGCCATTCATCTGCTCTGAAGATGGAGGCGATACGTTCCTCCGAAACGTCGGCCAAAACGAAGAATACACAGCGCCTAAACCCAGAAGACAACTTTCTTCATAGTCATTGCTGTGAAAACCTCAAAACTTACATAGAAACCTGAACAGTTCACCACCATATTGATAATTTTAAAAACACAGGTATGTTATTATACATGCATGTTTCTAACACATCACAATGCCACTTCACATTTCTGGCTATAGTTCCATAAAGGAGAAGGATAAATATAAAACGACAGTGTTACCATGTGGTTTCAAGTCTTCACAAATGATATTATGAATGGTGCAAACATTCCAAATATATCATGTACACAGTTATGGGATCACACATAGGATGATTTTCAAATGTTGGGAGGAAGGAATGGAAAGAAATCACACCATAAGCCTTAGTGTCTCCATGCATACACACAGTCATCTTCCCCTTAACACTGAACAGCAAGAAAGTCAAGTCTAAGTGTTCCCAGAAATGAAGCAACAGATTTATAGTCTATTTTGCAGGCGTTACTGGATCTCAGGTCAGTTTCTATGTATCAAGAGTGCAAAAACATGTTAAGACCTAAATTTATTTTTGTATTTAGATTGGAATGAAATGTTGAGGACTAACACATTCCATGCTCCGTGCATTCAACGTCTAGGAAAAGAAGCATGAATATGAATAACATTTATTATTATTAAACAATGACAGAACAGAGAAAATTGCAGTTTTGTAAAGTACTGACATAATTATGTCCCTGCAAGAGGCCATGGAGGCCCATAGGGCTGTGAGATGTTGAGACTCCCACATTTTCTAGACAATTGGCTCACAGTTGGCAGTGGGGTTGTCAGCCTTACATGTTGACTGCTCATTGCCCCAGAGGAAAATTCCTGGTGATCATTTCTATTAGAGGCTGAATTGATACCAGGGCCATTGTGCACCTGAAAGGATTAAGACCAGCGACCTTCCAGCCTGTAGCATAGTGCTTCCAGTATAGTGACTAGCTACGGGCTGGATGACCAAGGGGTCACAGTTTGAGTCCTGGTAGAGTCCATAATTTTCTCTTCTCCACATTGTCCAGACCTGCTCTGGGGTTACTCAATGGGTACCAGGGGCTCTTCCTGAGGGGGAGGGTAAAGTGGTCAGTGTGTGAAGCTGTTAACTCACCTCCAGCTAGTGCTGAGGTCAAGAAAATGTGGATCTATACATCCACTCCCCATACACCTTCACGGCATAATGCTTAATTAGTCATGCACAGGAACAACTTTACTTTACCTTTTACCGATATAATCAAAGATATTTCAAAGATGTGTGAATTTCTATGAAGGCTGAAGGCTCAGGCTGGTGACACTTATCCAAACACTGGCCATATGAATTCACTGACCTGATTATATCTTACAGGTCTGTGCAACCTTGACTACAAAAATGTTGCTGCAAGAAATGGGCAGGGAATGTAACATACTTAGGATAGATTAGATGTGCATACAAAGTTCTAGCCAGACAACCTAAGACAAGAACCAGGCAAAGATGGTGGAACATTAAAAATGGATTTGTAAAGAAATACCGATAGGAAAGCATGCACTGGATTCATCTGGCTCATGACAGAGAGCAGTGGCAGACTCTTGTAAACATGGTAATGAACTATCTTCATTGGTTGAATCCTGTTGTGTGTTTCAGATATATATATACTAGTTGTACCCGGCCACGCGTTGCTGTGGCAGATCGAGTGAATTAAAAAATTCTGTTGGATAATTAACTGCTTCATCTGCTTCCACAACAGTGTCGACAGACTTGTATGTGACTGCCTCGCAGTGAATGTTAGACTGAATGATATTGTTAAGTTCGTAGACGTCTTTGTTCTTGGCCGCAAGAATAGCTCGTTCACTCAGCCAATCATGATCCTTATAATTGGTCTGAATATTGGGAAATACTTTTTCAACCAATTCTTCTTCTGACGCCACTAAATTGCAGAAGTTATGAGGCAACGAAATTCGTCCTGAGGTCAGATCAACTGGCACCTTTCTGTTCCCAATTTTCAGCAACTGATGTGAGAATATCTCAGCTGATCGATCATTTTCCAGCTGGACACACATATTTATAGTTAATTTTAACATCTTTACATGTCGCCACAAAGTAGAGTATTTCAGGCAAGCATTTATTTCATCCGCTGGTGTCAATCGAGGATTTACAGTCAATGTTTGCCTGAAATCTCCTGCAAGCAATATTAATGCATTCCCAAATGGTCTGATGTTTCCACACAAATCTTGCAATGATCGACGAAGAGCCTCAAGCGATTTTTTGTGCGCCATTGTGCATTCATCCCAAATAATAAGTTTGCATTTCTGCAATACCCTTCCCATGCCTGATCCTTTGGAAATGTTGCACGTGGGAGTTTCAATGAATTGCACATTCAATGGCAATTTCAAAGCGGAATGAGCAGTTCTTCCACCTGGTAGCAATGTCGCAGCTATTCCGGACGACACAAGGGCTAAGGCTATGTTATTTTGGGATCGAATTGCTGCCAGAATCAATCTAATTAGGAACGTTTTACCAGTTCCTCCTGGCGCATCTAAGAAGAAGAATTCTGCAACCCCGTTATTGACAGTTTGCAATATTTGATCATAAATGCCTTTTTGCTCAAGCGTTAGCTTAGGAATATTTGATTGCACATATGACAAAAGATCACCAGTGTTGTAATTTTGTTCACGACACAATTCTACATTGAACGAAGCAGCAGCAGATCGATTCAGTGATGGCATCCCAATTGATTGAGAACTTTGTTCGCAATCTCTAAGCACAAATCTTCAATCATTATCAACGCTTCGTTGCAGATTTCTGCTGTGAAATCCACGTTCATATTGGAATTTTCCTTGCGTATTCGACAGAAAATATCTTCAGCCATGTGCGATTTATATTTCTCCCATAACTCTGCTGGAGATGAAGGAGAGCAGGTGGTCAATATGATTGCAAACAATGCACGAATTTGATGTGGATGTGCCGTGCTGCACGAGTCAGTAATGCATGTAGCGTGTTTGGGTATGTCACACTACAAATAACTTTACACCATATTAATTATAGCGAATCTTTACTGTAATTCACTTGCACACTTTACATTTATCGCCACTTGCAGTATTAGAGTTATTGGTTACACAATCTCTCGACCAATACTTCTGTATCTCTTGGCGTTTAGGTTCCAACCTTCTTCAGCAGCAGCTATTCCAAGACTGACTGGGCAAATGAATTCAACCCCCTTTTATACCCTCGGCCACTGCTACGCAAATGAGCCTTTGTCATAACCGCGGGAACATTGCTTTGTTGATTCCGCGATTCCTACGCAGCGACCCACTGTTATTGCGTTGTCTCTGTGGGAACGCTCCGTGTATTTGTTGTAACCGTGGAGATTCGATACAATATCGCTATTGTTACTTCCTATGCAACGGTCAGTTCTAGCGTTTCCATAGGGGTAACTCTTCTGAATTCCAAATTCCAATTCTGTTTTTCAAAAGAAGCATGTTTTTACCTGTCACAGGTGTGACATCTATATAATAGGTATATAAAAACATGTGTCCATTCGAATGCAACGTTGTGTCAAAATTTCGAAGCAATCGGGGAAGAACTTTCGGAGATTTAAGATCCTGAACAAACGAACATTTACATTTTTATTTATATAGATATATATGTGTGTGTGTGTGTGTGTATAGCACCATAGTCAATAAGTTCATGGACTGGCTGCAAGGCGCTGTTGCATTGCATTACAGCAGATAGGTTGAGGCATGATATGATGCCCTGCCAGTTCACCTCTCATCACAGCAAGAGACAGTTGTGTGCAAACAGTGTACGCAGAACTATGGCCTCTATTGTGAACTGAAGTTAAATGTGAGTGGCGGAAATCGAAAATGTGGCGGTTTGAACAATGGCCAAACATCGAGTTCTGCCAAAAACTAGGCAAATCCCCTAGCGAAATGTTTAACATGATGAAGCAAGTGTATGGCGAAGAAGCTTTGGGCCACAGTGCCGTGTTTAAGTGGCACTAACGTTTTGCGCAGGGGAGACAGTTTGGAGGACAATGAGTGTAGTTGTCGGCCAAAAGCAGTCAAAACTGAACACAAGATCGAAGAAGTTGCAACACTGGTACACACCAACCGCTCCCAATCTATACATGATATCGCAGCAGCAGTAGGGATAAGGCATGGTACATGCAACAAAATTCTCACTGATGACCTGAACATGTTGCGTGTTACTAAGAGCCGTGTTCCACGCATCCTGATGCAAGACCAACGTGACAATCGCATGGACATTTGTGGTGATCTGATCAGTAGTGCTGACGAAGATGAGACAATTCTCAACCGGATCATTACAGGAAATGAAACATGGTGTCTTCTTTACGATCCACAACTGAAGCGACAATCAGCCACTTGGAAACTACCATCATCGCCAAGAAAGAAGAAACCGCAACAGGACCGGCCAAAAGGCAAAGTGATGCTTGAACTGTTTTCGACTCGTCAGGAAACGTTCACATGGAATTTATCTCACATGGAGCAACTATAAACAAGGACAGGTACAAGAAGATCCTTATCTGTCTATGCGATTCAATTCGTCATAGAGTCCTGAGCTTTGGGGCAGGAAGAATTGGTTGTTGCTACATGACAACACCCCTGCATATCGCTCTGTTCTTGTCCAAAACGAACTGGCAAGGCAACAGGTCACCGTTTTGCCACACCCTCCATAGTCACCTGATCTTGCAACATGCGATTTCTTCCTCTTTCACCGCTTGAAAGCAAAGCTACGTGGTCATAGATTTCAGTCATCCAAGGAGGTTTTCAATGCCACAAGAGATGCTGTACGGGAATTTCCTGCCAATATGCTGCAGCAGCTATATCAACGTTGGAAGACTTGTATAGCAGCCAACGGCAACTATTTTGAGGGCCGATGTGAATATGTATAAGTGTATGTGAATACCTTGTAATATGATGTGATAAACACCACAGTCCACGAACTTAATGACTGTACCATGTATATGGTAATGAACCTTCAGGTTCCACAAAAGACATTAGAATTTCTTAATTAGCTAAGTAACTATTAGCATCCCAAGAAAGGCCCTACTCCATAGAGTTGATTACTAAAAAATATAACCTCCTTATGCATCGTCATCTTTGATTATTAAAGTAAACAATTCAAGTAACACAAAAATAACAAGGCAGACCTGATCTAGAAGTTGTGCTCACCCTGAATGTCTCACAAATTGCACTCACTTCAGCAGATTGGTTGCTGGATGTCTCGGTCTGTGAGGGTGCCTCATACACAACCCCCTCATTACTATTCATGGCAGGGTAGGCCTGTGGAACACTGTAGTACAGGTCAGTCGAGTTCAGATGTGCTGCAGCATAGTAGTGCTGTGTGGGTGGCAAGGGTGCAGGGGCACCCAACATGGGTGAGCCCTGTGTCACAGGTGGACCAGTTCCAGGGGCTGCTGCACTCGAGGAAGATGCTGAGGCAGTGTAGAGGTACTGTGATGTCGGGGCTGGTGGCTGCAAATATGATTCGAACTATACTGAGATCGTACCATCCCACAGCAACATGTACTTGCAAAGTACAATGATCTAAGCATGTATATGCTTTCCTTAAGAAAACAAACGTTAAAAAATTATGACTTTTAACAATGAGAATTTTTTCCCACCAAAAAACCAGTAGGTGGAGCAGATGTTAGTCTGTGTCCTCAATACTGCTACACTGAAGCACTTGCGTTTCATAAAGAGTCCACAAAACATGACACGAGTTCAAATTTAGTGTTAAATTAATTTCTTCTTTCCTTTTGAAGCACAAGTAATAGAGAGTGTTTGTTTAAGGACCATGTACGTACATCAGCTGTTTATAGACTAAAAAAATGTGGAGTACTGTATAACATCTGCACTGGGTTCTGAACACCCAAGAATCTTCTCGGGTTATGTGAAAGGCATAAGGACATGTCTAGCTGAGTTCATACAATATGGATGTTACTGTTCGTGTTCCAAAGTTTAAGCATTCTGGAAGAACACCAACAGAAATAAAGTAAATCATGACATCAGGATAAGAATAAATCATGGAAATGCTTTCCATCATTCACTTTTAAAACTGTCATCCGTCTTATTTACTTTCCATAATTCTGAAGGACATGACACACAAAAAATAATTTTTGTAACATGAATTATATTATAAATCTGGAAACAAAGTGCACATGAGAAATCAGCTGTTCCTAAGAGGGATAAAATGAGTGCACAACTTATGATACTTCATAATGAGGAACTTGGTGATTTATAAACATCACTAGAATGCAAGAATGTATAAGGGGGATGGGCCTTCTCGGCCCTTGCACCGCAACCTACACTGGTCTATTGTACTTAACATCACTAGAAGACCAGAGCATGTGACTAGGATGAAAAAGCGAAGGAATGCATAAAGAATTTGACAGGGAAAGCTTTTGGAAAACAGAGATGGGAGGATAACATTAAGATCGACCTTTTGGAGGCAGGTTGTAAAGATGGGAGGTGGATGGAATTTGTTCAGGATCAAGTCCAATGAGGGGCCTCAGTATTAGAAGCATTAAACCTTCAGGTTCTACCACCAGTTGTGGTTCTAGTTCGTAATACATTATTCACTCATATTTTCATCATTATCACTGGCACAACAGCCCTTTGTGAGCCCTGGCCTTCCTCAGGATTGCTCGCCATTCTTCTCCATTCGATGCTACATTCCTCCAGTTCTTTACACCCAAAATTGTTATGTCCTGCCGCCACATTCTTCCCATCTTAACCTTGGTCTTCCCACTCTATTTCCTTCTGGTTTAGTATTAAGTATTTTCTTAATCGTTCTATTCTTGCTGGCACATATCTTGTGTCCAGCCCATTCAAGCCTTTTCACCTTTATAAATCCAATAACGTCTGGTTCATTAAATAGTTTGTATAGCTCATGGTTATATCTCTTCCTCCATATTCTCTTTTCTTCCAATGGTCCAAAGATATATCTCAGGATCCTCCTTTCAAATATAGTTAACAGTCTTTCATCACTCATATTTTAGCTTATGAAATACCTAATATGGTTGTTGTGACTAAGTTTTACTGTCAGTCATTTGTGTTTCCCAATCTCATGATTAATTCCATGAAAGCACTACATCCCATTTGGAAATATATATATATACGATGGGGTACCCAAACGAAACCGAACTAATTTTTTTGTGGGCAGAGCTTTTGTAGTACTGCGTTTTGCTGCTAGGAGCCCATACAGCTAACATTCCTGAGTCGATAAGCCGACTACCGTTGCTTCAGAAGGTAAGGACTAGTTTCGGCAGAGTTTATAGTGACAACTGTTTTGTGTGATCGTCGTTTTTGCAATGGCTGATTTTCGTGAACAGCGTGCGGCGGTGAAATTCTGCTTTTTGCTCGGGAAAAGTGGAACAGAAACTCCTGAAATGTTAAAAACGGCATACAAGGACGATGCTATGGGGAAAACTCAAGTGTTTGAGTGGCTTTCCTGTTTCAAAAATGGTGAAATGTCAATTGATGACAAACCTCATTCTGGTCGTCCTTCCAAGGCCCGAACACGAAAATGTTGAAAAAATTCGTGAAATCATCAAGGAAGATCGACGACAGACCATTGAAGAAATTGT